ACAGGCTGTAACCCTATATCCCGTTCGGCCTTGCGACTGACCAGGAGTACCTCTGTCTTGTCTGGATTTAGTTTCAGTTTGTTCGCCCTCATCCAGACCGTTACAGCGGCCAGGCACCGGTTCAGGACCTCGACAGCCTCCTTAGTAGCAGGTGGGAAGGAGTGACAGAGTTGGACATCATCTGCGTACAGATGACACCGCACCCCGAAACTCCGGATGATCTCACCCAGCGGCTTCATGTAGATGTTAAAAAGCATGGGGGACAGTATGGAACCCTGTGGGACCCCACAAGTCAAAGGTTGTGGTGTCGAACAGGAGTCCCCCAATAACACCTTCTGGGTGCGGCCCTCCAGGAATGACTGGAGCCACTGCAAAGCAGTGCCCCCAAGACCCATTTCCGCAAGGCGCCCCAGAAGGATACTGTGGTTGACAGTATCGAAGGCCGCTGAGAGGTCCAGGAGCACCAACAGGGACACACTCCCCCTGTCTAGCTCCCGGCGCAGATCATCCACTAAGGCGACCAAGACCGTCTTGGTACCATGTCCCAGTCTGAAGCCAGACTGTGCCGGATCCAGAATATCCGTGTCTCTCAAGAATACCTGGAGTTGTGAGGCCACCACGCTTTCCATGACTTTGCCCAAAAAGGGGAGATTGGAAACAGGCCGAAAGTTGTCAAATTTAGTGGGGTCCAATGATGGTTTCTTCAACAGCGGTTTTATACTGCTTGTTTTAAGCACGCTGGAATCTTGCCTTCCCTAAGGGAGGCATTAACCACCACCGTTACCCACTCAGCCAATCCCCCTCTGGCCTCCTTCAGAAGCCAGGATGGGCAGGGGTCTAGGATGGACGTGGTGGGCCTCATTCCTCCAAGTATCTTGTCCACATCCTCGGGTTTCACAAACTGAAAAAAATCCATCAAAATAGGACAAGCAGGTGCTCTTGTTACATCCTCTGAGACTGCATTTAACGCGGCGTCCAGCCCAGAACGGATCAAGGCGACTTTGTCTGCAAAGAACCGAGCAAATTCTTCACAGCGCGTGGCCGAATTGTCAGGGCTCCCACCTGAAGTAGGGGGAGTTAAAAGACCTCTGACAATCCGAAACAACTCCGCCGGACGGTTCTTTGCAGACGCAATAGTGGCCGCAAAGAAAGTTTTCTTTGCGGCCTTTATTGCCACGGCATATGCCCTAAGAAAGGACACAAACCGTGCTCGATTTGACTCGCTCGGATCCGAACGCCACACACGCTCTAGTTCCCTCTTCCTTCGCTTCATCACTGCCAGCTCCTCAGTAAACCAAGGGGCTGGTTTAGCTCGGCTACTTGAGAGGGGACGCTCCGGAGCGATCATGTCAATTGCCCTGGTCATCTCCCCATTCCAGAGAGCGACCAAGGCCTCGACATGGTCACCTACCGAGGTGGCAGGAAAATCCCCAAGAGCCGTCAGGAATCCATTCGGATCCATCAGTCTCCTGGGGCGGACCATCTTAGTGGGTCCTCCACCTTTGCAGAGGTTAGGGGACGCAGTGAGCCTAAATCTGATCAGGAAGTGGTCGGTCCATGGCAACGGAGAGATGGACAACTCCTCCACACCGCCACCCTGCTCCCATCCCTGGCAGAAAACCAAGTCCAATGTGTGTCCAGCACAGTGGGTGGGGCCAGATATTTGTTGGGACAGCCCCATGGTTGCCATGGCAGACATGAAGTCCTGAGCCGCACCTGTGAGGGTCGCCTCGGCATGGATGTTGAAGTCTCCCAGCACAAGAAGCTGTTGAGACTCCAACACCAGGCTCGAGACCACCCCCGCTAGCTCAGGTAGGGAGACTGTAGTGCAGCGAGGTGGACGGTACACTAGCAGAATCCCTATTCTGTCCCGGTCACCCACCCTCAGGTAGACGCATTCAAAATTTGTGGTCTGCGGGATGGGGCACCTGGTCAGATGGATGGAATCTCTATAGACCACTGCGACCCCGCCTCCCCGACCTCCGGATCTCGGTTGGTGCTGCACGGAGAAGCCTGGAGGACAAAGCTGGGTCAGATTTACTCCTCCAGCTTCATCCAACCAGGTCTCCGTGATGCACGCCAGATCTGCCCGGTCATCCAGGATTAAGTCCTGGATAAAGGTCGTTTTTCCGTTGACAGATCTGGCGTTCAACAGCACCACCTTCAATCCGGAGGGACCGCCAACCTGGTTACACCAATTTACCATAGGAGACCGGTTTGGGATTATTAATGTAGATAAGCGGTCCAAATTAGGCCGAATTTGAGGTCTCCTTTTTCCGCATCTCCTCCTCCCCACCACGACCTCTATGGGGGCCCCTCGGCTAGTGGAACACCTCCCCTCCTCCGTGCCGCAGTCCATGGCCAAGGTCTTAGTCCCTGTTTCGCTATTTGTTTGAATTGTTGGCGTTTTTTCTTGCCAATTACCTTGGTTTTCTTTATCCCCCCTCCCCTCCTCATTGTTCTTCACGGGCTCCAGCCCGCTTCCTCCCCCGCCCCTTCCACTAGTCAGTAATATCAGGGTCAGTATACACAAAAGGGTGGGGGACCACATGGATGAAAACAATACACTTCAGTAAGATGGTAATAATACAAGGGAACAAACGTTTTAACTGCGACAGTAAGATGATCCTAAGGTGCAGGTGTCCTAAAGTGCAACAGTAATACAGTCCACGGCTACAGCCACTAGGGCGGTTCATAAAGTGCAGATCTTAAGTGCGGCCAAAACCCAGAGCTGGCCCTCGATACTACTAAAGTGCGGCAGGAGGGATCGGGAAAGGGGCAAGTGCAAAACAGTTAGCAGCAGAGGCAGGCGCCTTAAAGTGCTGTATTACCCTGTCTATTGGAATTACCCAATAGACACAGATATCCCGTAACAAAGCTCAATAGTGAGCTTTGATGCAACCTCAATCAAAACATTGCCAGCTATACAATATGTCCTAACCTTAATATACATCAACAAAGTTCGTAAACATTTGAGAACTCTCTCCTCGTCCAAGAACAGAATAGGGGAAGGTCTCTTTATGATCTAGGGATAGATCTCTGAAACGAACCACAGATCAACGAAGTTCAGCACCAATGAGATGATCCCTGTCCAGCTCAGAGATTTAAAAAAAGACTCTGAAGTGAGATTCCAAATGCTTGCTAATTCAGTATGTCAGATATTCAAGTTTGCTACAGAATATCCCAGGAGATTAACAGGTTCCCTACTGTTTTCTGTTCACTATTTTAATGTACACATTAACAACATTTTCCCCATGCAAAGGTTAAGATGTTGTTGATTTCTAGTATATGGTGATCTGAATGGGATTTTGCCCTGCATAAATAGGAGTCTAGTTCCTAGATCCAGGAAAGTCATGCCACTCCTGTATTCTGCCTTGGTCAGGCCACACCCGGAATACAGTGTCCAATTCTGGGCACCGCAATTGAAGGGAGATGTTGACAAGATGGAATGTGTCCAGAGGAGGGCAACTAAAAGATCAAGGGTCTGGAGACAAGCCCTATGAGAAGCAGCTTAAAGAGCTGGGCATGTTTAGCCTGAAGAAGAGAAGTCTGAGTGGAGACAAGATAGCAATGTATAAATATGTGAGGGAAAGTCATAGGGAGGAGGCTTGTTTTCTGCTGTCCTGGAGACCAGGACACGGAGCAATGGCTTCAAACTGCAGGAAAGGAAATTCCACCTGAACATTAAGAACTTCCTAACTGTGAGAGCTGCTCAGCAGTGGAACTCTCTGCCTCAGAGTGTGGTGGAGGCTTTTAAACAGAGGATGGATGGCCATCTGTCAGGGTGCTTTGAATGTGATTTTCCTGTTTCTTGGCAGGGGGCTGGACTGGATGGCCCATGATGTCTCTTCCAACTCTATGATTCTATGATTTCAGCTCACTACCCAGACCAATCAAAGCCTATAGACTCCGTTAAGCAATATATTTCTGTCATTTTCTTGGCAAACAAGTCTCAATACAAGCAATATATATCCCAAACTTTTCAAAAGCTAACAGACAAGACACCAGCAGAGAACATTTTAATCTCACAGGCAAATTCTGTAGTATATTTAATGGTTACCGTAATCGAACAAAAAGTTTCAAAGGAAGATTCCAAATGGAACAGATTGATTCCAGCAAATCCTGGGAGTGGCTCATTCCTTATAGAAAGTAAGTGTTCCCCTTGGGGTATTTATCTGGTTGTTGCTTGGCTTATTCATCCCTAGCAGGATCTAGTCATGAATGAGACACACCCATATTAATTGATCTTTGGCTGTTTTTATTCCTGTTCTCCTTAATATTATGGGACACATATTCTTTACTGTTGTTACTGTGTGCCTTCGGGTTATTTCTGACTTGTGGTGACCCTAAGGCAAAATTATCACGAAGTTTTCTCAGGAGGATTTGTTTTGAGGGGTTTTACCCTTGCCTCCCTTTAAGGCTAAGAAAGTTGTACTTACCCAAAGCCAGCCGTGGGTCTCCATGGCCAAGCAGGGAATTTAATTATGAGATGGATCCACACTTTAGTTTGACATTTTAACTGGCAGGGCTCAATGCTACAGAATCATGGGAGCTGTAGTTTTACAAGGTGTTTTGCTTTCTCTGCCAAATAGTGTTGCTGCCTCACCAAAATACAACACCGTGACTCCTTTGAACTGACCGATGGCAATTAAAGCAGTTTCAAACGGCATTAATTATTAAGTGTAGGCGCACTCTAGGTCATCAGAATCTTAGTCCCAAGAACCAAACTAATACACCACGTTAGTTCTTACATCTACTCTTAGACTTTTACAATTATTATTAGTTTGAATCACTTTGTAAAATCAACTAAAAGCACTCCATATTTTTCTCTGCTTAGCTTTCAAGATCAGACAGGATCTGGTGTCTTTACGATAATACTGGAATGGATTATAGAAAAACACCAGCAAAATGTGATTTTAGCATCTGCAGCATCTATACTTAGCCAAAGGATGAGACATCAGCAATTCCTGCTAGAGACGCACATATCAACTGATACTTACTGCATATGCACCTATTAGAAATGCAGCGTTTGCTCGTTTCCGCTGGTCGAAGTTGGTGTAATACACTATTTTCTTTCTTGATAGACTGAATGACTGTTTAAAAAGGGAAAGAGAGTGTTAGTAAAATATTAAAACAAACAAATAAACAAACAGAGCCAGTGAATCAAATGCTGGCAGCTGAATTTTGCCAGGTCAGCTGAATCTACTGCCTTGATAGTTCATTTAAGTCAACTGATTCCTTCATCAAACTCACTGCAGAAAGAGCATGATAGAAGTGGTCCGTAATCACTCGGGAACAGAATAGTTCAATTGTCAGTATGCTTATCCTTCTTGTATTCCTGGGCATTGCTTTAGCCACAGGGATTTGACATTCCTACGGCTGCTCTTCCATGAGCTGCTGGCCTCTATTAAACTTAATGCTCTAAATTATCCTGAAGAGAATATTTAGAGAGAACAGCATAAAAACCAATGGCTGCTGCCATGGCCACCCCACGGGAGCATAGCAGCTAACCTTCTCCTTAAAGAAGTACCAGTAAAGGGTTCTTAAATCTACTTTAAAGATCCTCAGGAAACTTCAAACACATTCACCCTTTCCCTACTGAAGTCTTAGGCCCCTTCCACACTGCTGAATAAAATCCCACAATATCTGCTTTGAAGTGGAATATATGGTGGTGTGGACTCAGATAACCCAGGGCCTTTCCACACAGCCATATAACCCAGAATGTTAAGGCAGAAAATCCCGCAATATCTGCTTTGAACTAGGTTATCTGAGTCCACACTGCCCTATATTCTAGTGCAAAGCAGAAAACGTGGGATTTTATTCAGCTGTGTTGAAGGGACCCCAGTTCAAAGAAGATATTGTGGGATTTTCTGCCTTGATATTCTTGGTTATATGGCTGTGTGGAAGGGTCCTTAATATAACCACTAACCATGCCATTTGCAGCTAGGCAAGAACACCAAGACCTGGATCACTTGAACCTCCAGAATAAGGAGGAGAAACTCTGGGACTCCAGATGTTACTGGACTACAGCTTTGACCAACATCACCATGAACAGTCCTGACAGATCCAAGACCATCTGGGGGATTCCTAATACCTATCCTAGAAATTACTATGTGATGGTGCCTATGCTGTTCATCACAGAGAAGAACTACTGTTTCCAATGATCCAGAAAACAAAACAGAGAATGTGATTATCTGTAAGGAAAAAAACCCCACTTCACATGTCATTAGCTCTTAGATAACATCATAATACAGGTCCAAATTTATAAAAGAGTGCCTCCACTCCTGAAAATTCCAAATGAAGAACGCCATTCATTCATTTAAGGGAATTTACATATTAGCATTCAAAACAACACAGCCCTATAAAGAATGTTTACAGAGCAAAATTATTATAAACAAATGAACAAAGCTACACATCAAGAAATGTTAAAAATGTGTATAAAAGCAGATGGAGAGAAAGCTGAACAAATATCCTATAAAAAGGAGTTCCGCCACCACATAAAGAAGGCCTTGTCTCTTGTCCATGTGAACCTGATGGAGCTCACTGGCAGACCTAAAAGCTGAGGCTCAAAACCCGGTCTTGATGGCTAGGCAGGTTCACATGGCTATAGTTGGTCTCTGAATTGATGGTCTCAAGCCATCTAGATCTTTAAAAATTATAACCAGTTCTTTCAATTGGCTCTAGTAGTGATGATGTCGGGCAGTGGTTCTCAACCTGTGGATCCCCAGGTGTTTTGGCCTACAACTCCCGGAAATCCCAGTTTACCAGCTATTAGATTTCTGGGAGTTGAAGGCCAAAACATCTGGGGACCCACAGGTTGAGAACCACTGGTGTAGGGCATCACTGAAGCTGTGGCTGATTTTTTAAGCAGCCATTATGTGGACTGCATAACGATGGCTCTTCATAATTGAGTTGGAGGCAGGCCTGACCAAGGACAGGTGAGGCTTGACTCAGGCATATTCTGGAGCTTTGTCCTTCTTGGACTGTTGAGCTCTGTGCTCTAATCCCTGAAGATGTGATCTCATTCATGCAATCTGCCAGTGATTTGATCTCTGCTCGGGGAATTCCTTTGGAAGTCCAGGTCCCTCCCTTTCTCCTACTTCTCATCCCTTCCTCATTCTTTCCTCTCTGTTTTCTTCCTTGCTCACTCCGTTCTCCAATCCTCTGCACTCTATACTCTTGAATACTTCCCTTTTCCAATTAATCATACTGCCACTTTCTACTACTGTGCAGGGCACTCTGGTCATAGATGGAACATTTGCTATTTTGACTAGTCTTGAATGGCAAGCCATGGCCCAAAGTCCATTCCCACCGTCTGGAAAGTGAAACCATGACCACTCATTCCTTCTTGCTGCTTTGCAGGTAAAGGAAGTTCGCAGCCCAAGCCCTATTGTACTTCGTCATTAAACCATAGCTGAAACTGATTGATGTCAATAAGCTTTGTTTAATCATTGACAGTAACTGTATGCCCAATCCATTCCTAATCTCTACAGGTATGTCCGTATCAATCTGTTAATTTAGATTTAATTATTGTTACACTGTTACAGTGGACTCAGTTCTGTGTAAGGGCATGCTGCCATATATTTATGAGAATTCAGGGTGTCATGAAACTCTTCTGAACAACATGAATGTATGGCTACTCTCCTAGAAATTGTTGTATGCTTTCAAGTTGCTTCTGGCTTATGGTGTTAAATAAAATCACTAGCTGTAAACCTATAATAAGGTTTTCTGGAAAAGATTTGTTCAGATGGATGACTTCACCTTCCTCTGAGGCTGAGAGATTGTGACTGGCCCAAGGTCACCCAGCAGGTTTCCATGGTAAAGCAGGGATTTGAACCCTGGCCTCCACGTGTCCTAATCCAACCTTCAAACTGCTATTCCATGCTGGCTCCCACATTACTTAAAATTTAATCTCCAGCTTTACTATATAAAGATCATGATTATTCCCTCTATCTCTATTCTGCATTACCCATGAAAGCTGTGTTTTATCCAAGGCATGTGGCACACTATTGAGTTGCAGCTTGCCTTGTATCTGCAGGAATAGAGATGAACCATTTCCTGTGTTTCAAATATGCACTGCTAAGTATAATGTGATATCTGCAAATCTATTATCGATTTATTCCGTCTGCAGTCTCCATTCTTGGACATTCTTTTTTTTTAAAGAAAATATCACTGGAGAAGCTACAACAGGGTGAGCAACTGTGAAAGGTGTTGGGACTCACAAAAACAAGTATAATAATAATAATCTTTCACCACCATCTTCCCAAAAGGACTCGGGGTAGCTCACAAAAGAACTCCAGAGTGCCACACATAAAATAAACAGTACATAAGCATAAAAACAATAACAACATAAAGTTACAACTGCAAACACAATTAATGCACATGTTTGCAGATGATGCTTTGATTTAAGTGGGAATTGTACCCTAGGGAGTTACTGGAAGTTATGATTATCTTTTTTTGCCAAAATTCAAATTAAAATACTAAAAATAAGATATTAATTGTGGATACAAAAATTAGGGGGGAGTGTCACAAGGCCACAGAATGGTTGATTCACACTTTTGTTTTATTTTGTAAATATTATACAGGCAGTCCACAAGTTATGAACAACATAGGTTTGTTCTTAAGTTGACTTTGCATGTAAGTTGGAACAGGTACATTTTAAGTGTAACTCCAGCCATATATATGTATGTGTGTGTGTGTGTGTGGCAGTTTTCATAACATAATTGCTATGGTAATAAAAAAAAATGAAACCATAAAAAAGCAAGATGCCTAATTAATTTCAACTATAAACTGAAGTTCACATTACACAGGTAAGTGGAAAATTCAATTCATGCTTTTTTTAAATTAAACGAGGATGCAGAAATGTGCATCAAAATTTTGTGTATTTTCTAAAACAGTTATTTTGTGTTTGTGTGTGTTCATATATAAAATCAATCCTATTATAATAGTTGATTTTCAGTAAACTGATTTTCTTGTCTATATGTCTTCAACTGTAGCTTGCATCGTAAAAAGTGGCTAGATCATAAATGTTAAATAAGATCACTAGCTGCTATGTTTATCCTGCAACTAACACAGCATTTTGGAAAGCATTAAATGCGAGGGTGGGTCAAAACGTTTTGCCTCCTGTGTCATTAAAAACTTTATGAACGAATATATAACAGCAGAAGATGCTATAGATCATAGCCTGAACGTTCCTCTACACAAAACCACATAGGTTGTCTTTCAGAGGTCCAAACAGGTAAAACTCAGAAAGTTTCAGATCCAATTACTTGAATGACATTAAAAAGCTTTAAAAGCATGGGTCACAAAGCAAAACCCTGATTTTTTTCAAAATGGTTTTGATGCCTGGGTTAAATGATAGAGCACGTGTGTACAAACTGATGGTGACGATGTTGAACGGTAGTTTTGAGTAGAGGTTAGTTCAGGCTATGATCTGTAGCAACTTCTGCTATTTTATGTTCATTCATAACATTTTTATGACACAGGAGGCAAAACCTTTTGATCCACCCTCACACATTTTGAGATGTATAAAGGACTAGTAACTCCTAAAATAAATCCAAAATACGCATCAACTGTAACCCTCAGTCTGAAAGATTCCCTAAAGCTGGAGTCGAAGAAAGGTTTTAGATTGAAATTGTTTTTCCCTAAGTGACTGCTACCTGGGAGAATTGGGAAGCCCTGGCCCTTGAGCGCTCCAGCTGGAGGTCAGCTGTGACCAGTAGTGCTGCAGAATTTGAAGAGGCACAAATGGAGAGTGAAAGAGAGAAACGTGCCAGGAGGAAGGCATGTCAAGCCCACCCTGACCGAGACCGCCTTCCACTTGGAAACCAATGCCCTCACTGTGGGAGAAGATGCAGGTCAAGAATAGGGCTCCACGGCCACCTACGGATCCACAAGAATACTGATCATGGAAGACTATCCTACTCGTCCAACAAGGGATCGCCTAAGTAAGTAAAGTAAGTAAGTAAGCTACCTGGGAAAGTGAGTTAGTAAAGAGGAGGCTCACTTTATACACAAACTTTGTGCACAATTATAGTAAAACAACTCATCTTATGCCAGTAGAAGGTGCTGTCATCCCCTTTCTTCCACATATCCCATCCCACATTATTCTAGAGTGCCCTCTTACTCCCAGAAAACAGCTAGGGAGGGTGTAATAAAAGTGTGGTTTCTATATGCTCCCCATAGGTATCTATGGTTTCTAGGCCAGGCACACATATGCCATGCATAGTCAACTACGCCCAGTCAATAGGGTTATTGGCAAAAACAAGGAGCAAAGGGGTTTGAAGAGGCTGAAATGACAACAGCTCATGTAAGATAACCTCTGGAAGGTAGCCAATGAACTTGTGGAATTTAAAAGCCACAAGATGCTATTACTGCAAAAAAAGAAGTTCTGAGAAAACAGATTAGACCAAGATAACAACTATTAGACACACAAAGAATCTCCAAATGTGGAGGCACTCTACTGATGTTCATCAATTTCTAGGGAAAATATCAAGACATGGTTATTCTACTGCATAGTTTAGTTTCCTTAAGACATCTAGATCAGAACTGTAACGTCAGTTCAAAGGTTCATCTAGTTCATTACAGATTGAGCATCCCTCATCCAGACATTATTAAACATGTTATGTATAGAGTTACCTTCAGGCTATGTGTATAAGATTGATGTGAAACATTATGTATGTATATGGAAATATAGCCATTCCAAAAAGTGAAATCCCAAACACTTCTGATCCCAAACATTTTGGATAAGGGATACTTAATCTGTATTCTGTATCTAGGTAAGCAACTACTTTATTCTCTTTTAAAAAGAACAACACTATATTTATGAGAGAATATACAATTCTTACCTTTAATTTCTTGTTTAGCTTGCAGCAAAATCGATATAACATAGCCAAGTTTAAAGGTCCAAAATCTGCATAAAAACTAAAAGAAATATACACCAATGATCAAAACACTTGTAGTTTTAGGTCATTAGTTAAACTAGTTAAATATTTTATGGCCTACTATTTGAAAGCCCAAGTCTCCCCTACAAATGGGAGCAACTACATCGCCACCATGACCGATACAGAAGCACATAAGTGTTAGAACTAGAATCAGAACATACTGATATTACAATAGCCATGTAAAACTAAATTCTGCTCTATACTTTGCTCTGTAATTCAAGGAACTGCATGCAAAGAAATTAGTTGCAGCCTTTAACAAAGAAATGATGCTTGTGGCACATAGATAAGCAGTGGGACCAGATGTAATTGAATCCAATGGCCCTGCTATGACTGCTATGAACAACTTTTCAGGGCATACACAGCCAATAGTTACAGGTAGTTTTTGCATTGATATACTAAACTCTATAGCATTATGAGCTTAGATGCATTTATATTCTGGATTACACCTAGGGTTTTTTTTTAATCTCAACTTTTCTACAGTCAAAAGTAAGTACATCTGAACATATGGTACATTTTGATGGTTTATTAAAATCAAACTCATTTTCTGGATCCAGAAAAAAAAAATCCCCTTTATAAGGAAAAAATGTGCATGCTTTCCTATTTTTTAAAGTGTTCGACATACATACACATATAACACTAAGTGAATCTATATTGTAGAATTAATGAAGTTGAAAGTCACATTAATCTCCATGCCGCAATGCTATGGAGTCTTGGGAGTTGTGGTTTGAGAAGGTTTTTGGTATTCTCTGTCAAAGATTGCTGGTGCCTCACCAAACAGCTCCCATTATTCCATAGCATTGAGCCATGACAGTTAAAAGGGTGTCAAACTACATTAATTCTGCAGTCAAGATTAGTTCTGCCTTTCCCAGGTTTATTGATATAATACTATACTTTCAAACAAAAGTGACAGAATCTCATGCTTGTAATCTAAGTGCAAACCAAACAGACTGACTATATTCAGACATACATGGACATATCACACAAAAAAGCCAGTCAGTCAGTTCACGAGTTACTGAAATAATGGAAGGACAATGGAGAATGACAAATGCATTTTCTGTTCATCAACTGAGACAATTTTGCTTTTGTGAAGATCATTCAATTGAAGAGATGAAATCTGACTTGAGTAAACACAAGATTACGTGCTATCTTGATGCTAAACCCAATGATAATATGCTAACTGAAAAATATTCTTTGGTTGTAAATTGTATCTTATACAGATTTATCTGACAATAAATCTCCTTGATCTCCGTGGGCCTTACTTCCAAGTAGACAGGCATGGGGCTGGGCTTATCCCTAACATGCAGCAATAATATGATAAAATATCAAACCTAATATTGTTAAGATTGTGTTGTCAAAAGCTTTCATGGCCAGAATCACTGGGATGCTGTGTGTTTTCCGGACTTTATGGCCATATTCCAGAAGCATTCTCTCCTGACGTTTTGCCTACATCTATGGTTGTGAGGTCTGTTGGAAACTAGGCAAATGAGGGTAATATACCTGTGGAAAATCTTCAAATAGACAAGAGTTATTTCTCCCACTCTGGACATTCCACAGATATATAAACCCCACTTGCCTAGTTTACAACAGACCTCACAACCTCTGAGGATGCCTGCCATCGATGTGGGCAAAATGTCAGGAGAGAATGCTTCTGGAACATGGTCATACAGCCTGGAAATTCACAGCAATCCATTGTCAATATTATTTGGGGTGTGCTGCAATGAAGCACTTTGTAATCCTGCGTATACAATGCTATGAACTTGGGACATCTCAATTCAATTCCATATTTGGTTCTTTCTTGTCTTCTCTCTCGCTACACTACTTTTTAACCACTCCTTCCCCAAGTGAACTTGTTAGATACTTAACTGTTTAAACTCAAGATACTAGACCAGTAGTTCTCAACCTGTGGGTCCCCAGATGTTTTGGCCTTCAACTCCCAGAAATCCTAACAGCTGGTAAACTGGCTGGGATTTCTGGGAGTTAGAGGTCAAAACACCTGGGGACCTACAGGTTGAGAACAATGGCTTCAAACTACAGGAAAGGAGATTCCACCTAAACATTAGGAAGAGCTTCCTAACTGTGAGAGCTGTTCAGCAATGGAACTCTCTGCCCCAGAGTGTGGTGGAGGCTCCTTCTTTGGAGACTTTTAAACAGAAGCTGGATGGCCATCTGCCGGGGGTGCTTTGAATGTGATTTTCCTGCTTCTTGGCAGGGGATTGGATTGGATGGCCCATGAGGTCTCTTCCAACTCTATGACTCTATGATTCCAGGGAGAAATCAAGATGTAAAGTTATAGCAAAATGAATACCACCTCACTGTTCTGCATGTGTTAATGCTGTCTCTTTGTCTTACCCATTGTATTTGTATTTGACATGTCCCAAACATGTACCTGTATATGACATGATGGACTCTATTCCAATTCCCAGAATTTACTGAAATACAAAAGTCACAAACTATAGGAATAAGCCACAAACTATAAGAAAATTGATGGATACTATGGTTATTCTTGCTTTCACTTTTCAATAACGCTTACAGAGCAGAAGAACCAAAAAAGAAACAATTTAGATTAGGGATGGCCATTGTGCAGCTCTCCAGTTGCTCCTGGATTGCAACTCTCAGCATTATATTTGGCTAGAGCAGCTGTGAGTTTCAGGCCAGCAGCACCTGGATGTCCACAAAATTCTTGTTTCTATAACCAAAAATAGCAAGGCTCAAACAAGCTAGTATGCATTGTTTATTGTGCCAACCATTATAAAATATATTTAAATGTCTCCTAACTGCATGAAGCTAGTCTTATTGGCATTGCAGGAGCTTGCTCTGTGACAACACAACATAATAGTAAATTAATCCCAAAACTCTCATTGGTAATAATATGTTATATGTGACCCTCTCTCACAGGTAGCTGTTTAGAGAGACTGTACAGAATCTAGAAACAAAAAGTTGAGAAAATGTAAAAGAAACTATTTTCATAGTGAGGAACAAGGAGTTAAGGCAATCATCAGCTATCCCAAAGTGGAGCAACTTAAACCAACTACAGAAATGTGTTGGCCAAATGAACGCCTATTTTGCATTGAGCAGTCAAGTGTGATATGCCAAGCCTAGCTCTGCTTGCAAGGCATAGAACAAGAGCTAGCATTCTTCTTGAAGAATAAGCCAATTACTAGTTCCCAACTCATTAATTAGTTACAAGTCTAAGTCAGCCCTGTATCTGCCAATCGCTTTTTCAGCTTTATTTTCCACCACTTTATTATGTTAACATTAAAGAAGGAAGCAAAGACATTTAAGTCATCTTCCAACTTAACACAAAGAATCATTTTCAACATTTCAACAGGTTTATCTTAAAATATAGTAGTAAGACTCTTCAGCTTTTCATTTCCATTTGGCAATATACAAGCTCATTCATTTTTCTTGGCATGACAGGTTCCGATGTTTAAACATAAAATATTTAATTGGACTTGGCACAGCTGCTGCAAAGAGCTGAAATAGCTGGCATTTGAGACATGGCAGTCACCGTACAAACTGGAGCCTGCATTACCAAAGCAGTCCTGTTGCCAAAAAGGCAGTTACTTTAGCAGGAAATATGGGAAGAAAACAAATGCAGACCAGCAGGACCATTATCAAAATCTGGTCACAAAACATTTTTCGTTGCGTGCAGAAAACAGCCCATATGATCAATGAAACTGTAGCAAACAACTTTTCAAATTGAATTTGAAAATATGCAGTATAATGGTAGAAGCTACAATTAAAACATACACAGAAATGTTCATATGAATTTCATATTGAAGTGCAATGATTTAATGTATCAGTTAGAAATACAATTGTACCCTGCCTTCAAAGATTCAGCAGGAAGCACATAAGTGGGTTTTTTTTTTTTTGGTCGTGTCAGGAGCGACTTGAGAAACTGCAAGTGACTTCTGGTGTGAGAGAATTGGCCGTCTGCAAGGACACTGCCCAGGGGACGCCCGGATGATATGATATTTTTATCATCCTTGTGGGAGGCTTCTCTCATGTCCCCTCATGAGGAGCTGGAGTCGATAGTGGGAGCTCATCCGCCTCTCCCCGGATTTGAACCTGAGACCTGTCGGTCTTCCGTCCTGCCGGCACAGGAGTTTAATCCACTGCACCATCGGGGGCTCCATTAGTGCTGATTTGTTCTGAATACATTCAGTCAAATTCAGAATGAAGAGTTGAGGTTTCTAAAGTTACCATGTAACAGACCAAAAGAAAGTGAAATATTTAGTTTTCTGCCCATTCCTTTTGCTGTCACCTTGTTTCTGCCTTCTGTATGCCAGATTATTGAATTTAGAATGAATATTTTTTCCAGCATTGGAAGTTCTTTGGTTTTGTATTGTCTGGAAGCTTCTACATCACAAGTCAAAATGTTTTCTATGTTTGCAGTTGGATCTCACTGGGCAATGAAGATCTGGAACTCATTGCCCTGTGAGATTAGGAAACGCCCCACCTTAGAAACCTTCAAGAGGGATCTCAAAAGCCTGGCTTTTCTGTTGTGCTTTTGGAGAGTAGCCATACAACCATACACAGTTGCTCCTCCTCAACGTTTTGTTCCCAGAGTATATTTTCCCCGCTTGTATGAAGGCCTATTTTTACGATCCCGTTCCTTTATGAGTTTCTCCCTCACAAATAATCTGCTCCATTCCTATCTCACCCTGAGTTTTTAGTACTTTGTCTTGCACATGCGGCCCGCTCATTGCCACTGTGATTGTGAATGATTTTGTTTTGTATTTTATATTGTTTATTGTATTCACATGTTTTATGTATTTCACTGTTTTGTTGTTGTGTTTTGCCTTTTATTTTATTGTAATGTGCTGTTGGGCTTGGCCTCATGTAAGCCTCCCTGAGTCCCCTTTTGGAAGATGGTGGCGGGGTATTAAATAAAGATGATGATGATTATTATTATCTACTGGATAATACTAAAGTCATATTGCAATGTATGGTCATATAGATTCTGTATCCAAAATTTAT